GCTGTGAACTACCACCAGCTTAGGATCCTGTAAATAATAAAAACTTATTAAAAACTAAAATCTAAAAGTATTCCGGGCTTACTTTGACATCAGGACTTCAGTACGTTTAACAAAGGACAGGAAGAAACATATCATGTTAAAATTAAAAGGCAACTCTTGTTAATGTAGTCTTCAACATACCGACAATCAATCTAAAACCTCTTAAGAGACTTTTCACCGCCCAAATTATGACGAATTCAAAGAATTTTTCATATTCTACTAAAGCAGGACAATTATATTTTTCGGTATCTTTTATACAATCGTTTGTATGCGACTTGAAAACGGCATCGATACATTGCTCAGAAAGCAATGGAGGCTAGTTCTGTCAAGAGTATTGACACTTTTCTCAAGACCATCATGACTCTACTCTATGGCCATTAGTGAAGGACGGAATTAAATAGCTTCTAATCAACTTTAAGCACTGATTCTCTACGCGCTTTCAGAAGCTTCGCTGTATTTTTAGATATCATCTCGCTCAGATAATAAAATAATGATAGCAAGAATGTGACTCCGATATTGCACGATATTTATTTTAGTACAAAGTCAGATTATCAGTATACATAGAAATTCAGATTATACATTTTTGATTCACTGTTGCCTAATTATCTTTTTAAATACCAAGACATAATATTCAATCCATTTTTATATTAAATTTAGAATATGTATTGAACATTTTCAAACTCAACAAATACTAAAGTAGCTTTTCACGTCACGAGACCATCAACTGCAAAACTGTTTAGCCAAAATACTGTCGAACGGGACAAAAGAAATTGATATATTGATATAAAAGCAAAAATATGTTAGCGGCGTATTGGTAAAAAATCTAAGTGATACGTCATAGCCGTCAGTCTCACATACTGCCTCTTGGGTATTCCATAAAAAGTTTTTCTAACATTTACTTTGAAGGGACACACTAAATAAAAGCGACAACTGGCAAATGATGTGTTTTACCCAACTATATTTTTTTTAAATATTAAATTTACGTGATAATCGAATAAACAATAAATACGAACGAATCGCAGTTTGTCGCGGATTAAGATAATATACTTTCGGACAAGCATTAAAATGCATCAGGGATCGTGGTGATAGAGTTTGTTTTTAAAATAACATCTACCTTTGGTAACCACCCCAAAAATATTTTTATTAAATGAGATCTGATGTCTTGTTTACAAATATGAGATCAACATTGGTAAATAGCTTCACATTATATCGTTATTAGTTTCTTGTGTATTTGCTAGATGTTTTGTCGTACAAATATTTCTTGTATATGTACGGAAAAACTGAGCTAGTGATATAAACGCTTACATATGTACAAAAATAAGTGGCAGTCTTAATTATGAATATCCTCGTGGGCCTCCAGCGTAGGGATCGATCTAGCGAATATAATTTACAAACTTTACTTCTTTATTAATAACATAATGTAGTTAAATTACTTACAAAAAGTAAATATAGAAAATTTAATACAATACTTCCAAAGAAAAAAAAATCATATATTTTTGACATAAAAATATTTTTTGTGGTTTTCCCTGATTTAGATCACTATTTCGAACAAATTCCTTACATTTTATCAACTGGTGGGGGGGGGGGGGGCGGTCTTGGGTTTTTTGTGTTTCCCCCCCCATTTGGGGTTTTTTTAAAATATAAAACACTTTATTCGAATTTTCGAGAAGCAAGTCTAAGCGCAGGTATTATAGTACCAGAAGGTGTCCATGCTAACACCCATGCACCATATGCTATCCTATCGCAGAACGGACATGTGTGGATCACTGATATAACGTTTATAAGCGATAATATTGATGGAAGGCTAATATGCAAAACTGGAGACATAGGAACAAATAAAATGCAACGAAATTAAAAAAAAAAACAAAATAGGTGTAACTATACTAGGTGACTTCATCTGCGTAAATGCAAGACTTATCTTTGAATTAACAATTATATAGAGGGTTATGGATCAATCAGTCCACTACGTTGCTTTAAGACGTGCTTGTGTGTTTCAAATGTCATCAAAATATTTGCATTCCTCAGTAATGCAGGTTTCCTCATGATGTATATTATTACGTTAAATTTGAAGGAAAGAAAGAAAGAAAGAGATATTTATTTGGCCATTTCTTAACAAATTAGCAATAAATACTCAAAACAAACATTATGTTTAGGTATTCTTATAAGTAGACTATACTTACAATGAAAAATAAATCATTTTAACAAAGCAGATAGATACAAAATACATTAAAAAAGTGAACAGCTAATTTAAAAACAAATTTTTTTTAAAAATGGGAAATGGTTCAAATAGGACTGCCACTCAGGAAACGTGTATCATCCTAGCCCTGATTTTCAGTGGCTACCTTAAGTACATTATATAGATACACACACATATAATATATATACATATACATACATACATAAATATATACATATATTTTCAATAACACACATATAATTTCAATTAACAACATCATTAGTGCTAGGGTTGCACGCGTACTATAAATTTTAAAAGACATGAAAGGAGGAAGTGAGATGTATGTAACTATTAACTTCTTTAACTCAACCGATAAAAATATTACGACAAACAAAAATTGATTTTAACATCATGTTAAAAATAATATACAAGTAAAAAACCCTTTTAAAACTACAGATTCGGAAATCTCCCACATACATCACAATTTTGCTTATTTAGGTCCTTACATATGAAATTGGCGTTTTGTACGAGGGGAATATAAAATCAATATTTTTTTTGTAAAATATATTTAATTAATCAAATTATGCACCGTTGTTATCTATGCACTTTTGCCATCTCGTAGGTAGTTTACTGATCCCTTTACTAAAAAACCATGGGGGCGAGAATCAATAAACTTTTTGACGGCGGTTTGGACTGCCGCATCGGAGTTAATTTTTTTTCCTTGGAAGAAGTTGTCCAAATTTCGGAAAAATGGTAATCTGTTGGAGCAAGGTCCGGGGAGCACGGTGGATGTCGCAGACATTCCAATTGTAGCTTATCTAACTTAGTGGTTGTTTGTTGTGCAGTGTGTGGTCTTGCGTTGTCCTGAAGCAGCAGTGGCCTAGAGCGATTGACCAGTCTCGGTTGTTTAGCAGCTAGTTCTTCCTTCATGGTTTGCAGTTGCTGACAATAGATATCTGCTGTAATCGTTTGGCCAGAATTTAGAAAGCTGTAGCGAACGACACCGGCGTTAGTGCACCAAACACTCACATGTAACTTTTTCTGAGTCAATTTTCGTTTAGGGCAGGATTTGGCTGGGTCTCCAGGGTTCAGCCATTGCGACGAGCGCTTTCCATTATCCTACAGTATCCACTTTTCATCACAAGTAATGATTCCATTTAAAATCCCTACATTTTTGTGTCGGTTGAGCAAAGTAACACAGCAGTCGACACGTTTTTGTAAGTTCGATTCACTCAATTCATGAGGTACCCATCGTTCAAGTTTTTTTACTTTCGCGATCTGCTTCAAGTGGATTAATACAGTTTTATCACTTACCTCGAAGCCTGCAGCTATCTCTGAAGTGCTTTGTGATGGATCCGCTTCCACAATAGCCTTTAATTCTTCATTCTCCGGCCGTCCACGTGGTTGGTTCTGAAGGTCGAAATTTCCAGAACGAAAACGTTTTAAACAAAAACGTACCGTGGTTTCTTTTGCGACACCAGCGCCGTACACATCATTAATCCTTCGAACTGTTTATGCAGCACTGGTGCCACGGTAGAACTCGTACTCGTAAATATACCGATATTTCATGTTTTCCATTGTGCGGTAATAAGTGACGTCAAAGAAAAAAATAATGAGGAAAAACAAATGAATGACTGTTTTCAAAACTCAAATGTACCAGCTAAATGTATTTATAAATTTGAATTTGGAATTCTTAATCAAAGGAGAGATATTTCAGATCACAGTGGTCAGTACGACAAAACGCTAATTTCATATGTAAGGACCTTATATTTATCGATTCTTAGCATGCAGTCACTTGTTTGCAATATAATAAAGATATATATACTTTGAGATATTAGGTTGATACTTACATGTCTTTGGATTAATATTTTATGAGAAGGAGGAAGTTATTTCCCTAATGTGGCCGTTAAGCATAATGTATTGATAATTATTTCAGTTACTTCGTGAATATTCGACACAGCGCTCTCCTGCTGATTTACTGTTATGAAGTAAATGAGAACATGAATGGATAGTCCATTTATTTAAGATTCAAAGCAGTGACTGATATTACTACAATGTCTAAGCTTAGTGGTGTGTAAACAAACTTTCGGTCCACCTGATGGTAATTAGCTGCTGTAGATCATATTAGGTATTTGATGAGTATGGTGGGAGAGTTTACATAAACCTGTAACCAACTTACAACAAAGTGGGATACAAATGCTTTGTTTCCCCTGCAGATTAAATCGAAATGCCTTACATCCTTTTGTTACTAAATACACAGCTGCTTGGTCAAAAAAAGAGAGAGTATAAAAAACACAACAAGGACCCTGCCATATCATATCATATAACACTAAATTATACTTGAGTATAAATATGCTTACGTTGCTAACTTTCTACAGATACGTTGTCACCACTGAAAAGTAAGATGCCTCACGGCCTGTAATTTTTCTGGCTGTCTGTAGTCTTTAGACTGGAACATAGCAGTACACTTACTGCTGTTAAGCGGCAGCAAAGAGGAAGACGGCAGCAAAAAGGAATCCTGTCACATAGAGTATTTTTGTTTAAGTATATAATCATCATCAATCAATATTGTTGACAACTACGACCTTTCTTAGTCATTAATTGGATAATAATATACCTCTACGCCGATTTAATAATCTGATTATAATAATTTGGTACTCGAAAACCTTCCCTGTTTTATTTTTACATGTAAGCCTGAACAATACATTAGTAAACACATATTAAAATAAAAATTGCAAAATAAAATAAAAAAAAATTTTAAGTTCATGTTGTTTAATAAAACTTCCTATCGAGTGTTATTTACAGACTTTACAATCTCTGAAGTATTTGGAATTTGAGTAGTGGTCATAACCCCTTTGTCACTAACGGTTTGACTTGCGACTTCTGAAGTATTTGGAATTTGAGTAGTGGTCATAACCCCTTTGTCACTAAAGGTTTGACTTGCGACCTCTGAAGTATTTATAATTTGATCAGTGGTCATAAATGCATTGCCACTACGGTTTTGACTTGTGTCATGATTACTAATCTCCGTTATCATTTTCATTATCGTTTCGTTTTCTGTAACTGAAATATCAGTAGCACCAGGAGTACCACTTATAACAGGATCTGCTTCAATGCTTTCATTAGAGCTGTCATCGTTAATATTCAAATTTTTATTCTTATTTTTTGGATGTGCCCAAGCTGGAATTGACGTTGTTGGAGCACCCAATCGCCATCGCGTTGGCCTTACTGCCAAAAGGGGCCTGTATTTTGCCATATCACTCTTAATATAACAAGTACATCGGCAGTTTTTATCCGCATAAGCGACATCGTAATTTAAATCGACACATTTTTCTATACATAAAAAGGATTTCTCAAAACTGTTACAGTCCGCAGTCTTGTGAAAACCATAGCGTAATGCAGCCCTTCCGCCTAAAAATTATTATTACTTTAATACTTATTATATTATTACTAATTAATCGAGTTACAATTTTTTTTAAATTAATTGAGGAATCTTACCTGATACAGTGCTTGAAGTGATATTTATATCTGTTGGTATAAAAACTAAAAAAATATTAATTTTAAAAATTAACCAACTTGTAAATGTAAACAATATGTGATTACATTAATAGATCACTTTGACCAAAATTAAATTGAAATATCTTTATAGCCTATTACAAACCCACCATCGAACCTAGACTTTCATATATTTCCAAACCGAAAAAATACAGAAAGTTGTCTCTCTGCGTCTGCTTCTCCCATCATCTTCTTCTTCTTCTTTATAAAACTTAACGATCCACTGCTGAATTAATTGCTGGAAGATTTGCCTACACCTACCACGCTATGCAGGTGAGCGTTGAGCCGATATTTCCGTACTGGCAGTGCTGCTGTTCCCCACAACAAATATATGGGACCAATTTTTTTATCATAGGTCTGTCGCAAAGTTTCGTTCGTTGATATGTTGACTTGAGAGTGAGGTTGGACGTCTTGACGTCTAACACATCCATCTAACACATTTTTAGTACCTACATTTAAATTCTGATTTAATTACCTATTGTAGACTTCACATTACTTTCACTTGCTAAAAAACCAATAAACGTATAGAGAGTGAATAATATTGTTTCCATTTTAAAACTTCAGGCATTAACTATCTTGCCAAACAATTATATTTTCATACAAACACGTCGTAAATGAAACATTATGTTGCTTGTAATTAAAATTCTCCCACCCATGTAATTAAAAAATAGCATAAATAAAACTCTAGTATCCTCCTCAATCAATACCAAACTCCAAATCCAATTATTGAATCCTATTGATTGCCTCCTGTATGCGGGATATATGCCATCATAGTTACTACAATTGTTAGACGAGTCACCAACTGCAGTTTTTATCATTATGAGTTGGTATTAGGAAAGTGCTGTTGCTGCCCATCTCCTGTATCAGTTTCCCTCTGCCGCTTCTTACGACACCCACGGGACGATACGGGGTAGTGCATTCTCTTTCTCCACCACTTTACGGTGGTGAGAAGATATTACATGTATATTTTCTAGGGCTCCAAATCAATCTTGCAACAACTGTTGTGTTTCTTAAATACCTAAACATTTTAAAATGTTTCTCTTCCAATATTTATAGAAGTCGATTCCTATCAAAGACGATACATGAGGCTATTGAAATTACATCCTCATCCTAATCCAAAAAACATTCTAATTTCAACAAAAGAGAAGGTGGATAGGTACTGCCTGCTTTGAATCCTATTATAAGTAAAATTAAAACTAAATTCAAGCATACAAATTGTATTACTTCAAGATATATTAATTCCAAGATAAATAGTGAAAGAACTGAAGATACTCCTGGTTAATTTTAACATCGGTAGGTTAAACACGGCAGTCCCACATGACCATGGATGCTGCAAGGCAAAAAACTAGATATGTCAGGAGTATAAACATTTAAAATTAAACGCAATAAAATCTATATTTTATTATATCTATTAGTTTTCCCCTTAAGTTTTTTTTTATTTTTTTTTAAATAATGACTTCAAAATAAACTATTGGACTAAAATGCTTTTCAAAAGTTTATATTAGTCTATTCATTTACGGACATATATTACATATGTACATTAGACTGAATGAAAAACATTTGATTAGGAGTTACTTCAAAAACTTAATCCTTTGTTTTCAAACGACTAACTTGATAAAGAAGCATAAGTAACTACATATTATACTAAATTACGTCGTTGTATAGATCTTGAGATTTGTAGTTGTGTTTTTTGTTGGCAACCATAGTCCTTTAAAAGAACGGTAGCCAACCGACGGGGTCAGTCTATCCATCTCGTGCGACCGTTAGTCTCGCTAAAACTGAAAAACAGCTTGACCGATTTGATAAAATGTTTTGTACCTGTTTGATTAGATGGTTTAGATTTACATTTGTACCCGGTAGGTTGCGCTGGTGTCGATATCCAGAAATCACCCGTGCGTAGCCGGAGGAGATCGCTAGTATTTTTTAAAATCTACTGTTGTCCTTTAGTCTCGCTAAAACTCAAAAATGGCTCAACCGATTTCGATGAAAGTTTTTGTGTGTCTGTGGGTCCCTAAATGATTTATATTTACGTTTAAGTGGCGCTGTTGTCGAGATCCAGAAATCAACCGCGTAAAGCCGGGGCGGGTCATAGCGATAGTAGCGATATTATATTAAAGTAAGATTTGTAAACTAGCTGGGTAAGAAATAGAAGAGAATACACAAACGTGGACTATTATCGGCTGATAAAGGTTTATCTTATGGCATTGGGTGACAAACGAGCACACAATCCACCTGATGGCAAGTGGATGCTGTGGTCCATAGACATCCACATTCATCCTCAATTAAGAATCAAAATGCAAATGCATTGTCACCCCCGAGAACCAAGATGGAATGCCTCGATTCCAGTAAAAAGGGTCTCCGGTTCAACACACTCACCATACGAAACTCAGCAGCATTACGCTGCTGTTTTACGCTGGCATTTTGTGAGAGCGTGGTCCTTTCCCGGTTGAGCTGGCCCATTCGTGCTACAACTATAATATAGATATAATATAGCCGCATCTTGTATTTAGACTATTATATCTATCGTATTAAATATTTTCGTTTCTTCATAAAGTATAGAAAGTAAACCTTTTCTTTAGATACATTATTTTTATTTCATTTTATGAGAATTGAAACACATTTATTTTTTTAATTATGGTATATTACAAATATTACACACATAATATGCTAAAAGATTATAAAGTTTTTAACAGAAATTGAAGCTACTTTTCGGCTGCTAGTATAGTTGAAGCTGCGGTATTTATATCAATAGATGTTTTGTCACCACTTTGAGTAGTGCCATCTGCAGTGTTGCTAGTATTACCTCTACCGTCATCCGAAGAAATAGATGTAGGATAGTTTATGGTAGAATAATTCAATGTAGGACATGTGAAGTTAACATTAACATCCGATACCTTCGTTTCTGTTTGTGTTTCGGTTTCGGTGTATTTACCAACCACGTCGTAAAGACGAGGGCTTTGCGTTTTGGGGACCGTTTTAGTAGTCCCATTGGTCCTCCATTTGAAGAACGGCAATATAGTAGTAGTCTTCAGATCATGGCACGAGCATTTGCATTTGAAATTCATGCGAAAAATTTGAAAACCCATCATTTTACATGTAGTCATACATTTAAAGCTCTTAACATAATCACTACATTGATTGTGGAAACTCAGGCCGTAATGTTTTCTAAAAACTTTGTCTAAAACCAAAAAAATACAAATTATATCAACATTTTCTTCACTATTACAGCCTATCAAAAGTCCACTGCCAAACATAGGCTTCATGGGGGATCTCCCTTTGCCATAGTTGCCACGCTTGGCAAGCGAGCTGGCAGACGCTTTTTTTGTCCAGCTGTCACGAAGATGCTTCTGCCTATTTCCTGGCTTAACTTCCTTCTTTAGCCGCTTACAACGGATCATAGGGTAGTAAATATTCAGATATGTAACACATACTTATTATTTAAAGTTAGTTGTTATACAAGCGCTTTTCTTAGAGATGTTAAGGCAAATCACGTACCATCTAGAGAATTTATTGACATCCATGTCAAAAACAATACGTAATATTTCATTTTAGGTTTAAACATTCCACTACATTCATATTGATGTTAGAAAATAAAAATTTACTTCGTGGTTTATCAACGTTTAATAAAGATTTAATGCCTAACAACGCATAAAAATATAATTACAACCTTGGTTACTCGATAATGTCTTATTATGGTGGATAAATATCATGAATATATTTTTTTTCCCATCAAACTTATAGATTGTGAGATTCATACTTTAACGTGACATTTTAACTCAGAATGCTTTGATGAATACAAAATAAAAAAAATAGCAAAATTGTTAGTTATTGTGCGTACACTGCTTAATATTTGTATATATATACTTAATAATATTTGAATGGGAAACAAGTTACTAGGCTGCACTAAAAGTATCGGGAATGGAATATTTCCACTGTTCCTGTCATATTAAAATCTTTTTAATTGAAAACTCCTTGGTTTTAAAAATTGAATACCATTTATTTATTTAAAAAAAGATTCTCGGTCTTGTCACAAGGTTTTGTCAAAAGTTTAGGCGTTGAGAAAATGGAATTGACTCGAGAAAATTCAAGAGCGATGATTTATTATGACTTTCGAAGTGGTTTAATACAAAAATAGTGTGTTGACTGGATGATTTCTGCATTTGTTGATGAAGCCCCATCCAAAACTACAATTTATCGCTAGTTTGCTGAATTTCAACGTGGACGTGTCAAGCTCAGTGATAATCCCCGTCAAGGTCGTCCAAAAACTGCAGTCACCCAAGAAAACGTTGATGCTGTGCGTAAGCTGATTGAGGAAGATCGACATGTGACATACCGCGAAATTCCGGCAACTTTAGCAAGAAAACAGAATTATTAGACCATCCGCCGTACAGCCCCGACCTAAGCCCTAATGATTTCTATACTTTCCCTAAAATAAAGAATAAATTGCGTGGACAGAGATTTTCATCACCTGAAGAAGCTGTGGACGCCTACAAAACGGCCATTTTGGAGACCCCAACTTCCGAATGGAATGGTTGCTTCAATTATTGGTTCGATCATATGGAAAATTTCGCGGAGAATACTTCGAAAAGCAATAAATACATTTTTAAATAATAATGTTGTGTCATTTCCTTGATTCCCGAAATTTTCAGTGCCGCCCTCGTAAATGTAGTCGCATACCCGATGGTGAATGACTACATAATTCCATGATACCGTCAACAAAATTTAAACAAAAAGCAGCCAGATACGCTATTTCCCCTGAACACTAATATAAAATGCCTTACAACCTGTAATTATACGGACAGTGAGTGCACTGCAGCAGTTTGACGGCAGCTGTCAAAAGTAGGTGAAAGGAGAGTTGTACTAATCTAGAAGGAGCGGACAAGATGCGGTACCATCTATAATACTAAATAATACTTGGGTACAAACATATCTGTGCGGGGGTTTGTGTGCCCGCACAGATATGTTTGTTGGATGAATGTGTAACCATCTATTTCATTCATTACGGCATGTAAAAGTCCGCTACTGAATGTTCACAATGCTCAATCTACGGGGGCCCTACATAGGTCTCCCCCGTACATTGCCTTATGGAAGGAACTTTGCAACCGAGTTGGTAATCACAGTTTTTATTTTATTTTAAGTTATTATCAGGAAGTTTTAGCTGCCCGTATCCTGTTTCAGTTTCTCTCGGTTGCCTCTTACGATACCCACGGTACAGTATGATAACAGGTAGTGGGTATTCTTACAATGTCACTACATGGTTAAATACTTTATTTTTTTTAAAGAATATTAACATTGCTATAAACATTACTAATATTCCCCTTTACCACTCGTGGTAAGCTTAAATTGCTTGTGTTACGAGTGGTTCACGCCAGTAGTCGAATGGTGGATTCGAACCCACGACCTTTTTTTTGAGTTCGCGGTACGCGCCCTGCCATTAGGCTACCGTCGCTTATTATTAAATACTATACATGAACACTGTAAATATAAAATAATCTGAAAGCCTTAGCAATATTGCTTGTCAAGTTTTTTTTTATAGGATAGGGTGACAAACGAGCACACAATTCACCTGATGGTAAGTGGTTGCTGTGGCCCATAGACATCTACATCTATCCTCGATAACGAATCAAAATTCAGATGCGTTGTCACCCGTGAGGAATTAGATGGAATGCCTCGTTTCCATTAAAAAGGGTCTCCGGTTCTCTACACTCACCGTACGAAACACAGCAGCATTAAGCTACTATTTGACGCTGGTATTCAGTGAGAGCGTGGTCCTTCCCCGGTCGAGCCGACCCATTCGTGCTACAACTGTACTACTAATATAACTGCAGCTGGCTCTACCATTATGAAAGTCAAGTTGTTCTGTTTTCAAGATTTACTGTTTTATATCATTCAGTACTAAGAAAATATTATATAACTTCCAAACAATAAGCTGATTATGCATTTATGCATATTTTTTAGGAATTACTACACTCCTATTCAAAAATATTTACATCATCGACTTCCCAAGCCATAGTATCGTCTAACGTCTAATTAATAAATCAGGAATGTGATAATGACGACGGTGCACATCGGAGACAGAGCGAAATTCTCCGAACCAGCTTCTCTATGGCCACCCAAATGATGATTTCATTATCAGTATGATTTTGATTGATGTAGCAAAAGAAGTTTCTGGCAGCCGAATTCTTTTCATAACTGGCATATTTTCTCTGTTTATTACTTGGAACTAATTGATCTGCGGCGCCACACTTTTTGAGACCTTCAAAATCCTGAATAGGGATTTTTGCAGAACGCTCCGAGTTCTCCGCGCCGGACTTGCAAACCCATACGTTAATATTTAATTACTCGATCTTAATTTTTGTCTGGTCTATAAACTACAGACTTACATTCTATATTTACGTAACAAAATTCCCTAAAAAAACCCAGATTTATTATAACAAAAGTGATTGTAGGTATTATTTTTTATATTTTCTTTCCTTTATTAATAACAAAAATCATAATTTAATACTTATTTGGCATAACAACAATTGAAATCTAAAAATAGTAATAAATACATTATTGAAGTATATTTAACGTGAACGTAGTTGTGCTATATATGTATTAATAATTGAATTCGAAAATTCACTTTAATAATCAAAAATAATCTTTAGTCACATTAATTTAAAAAAAATTAAAATTTTAGTATTCAAAGTAATTTAAAACTAATAATAAACAGTACCCGGATGACAAGCTTTGCTCGGTTTTTTTTTTTTGAAAATCATATAGATACAAATTACATACTGATGAATAATATTTTTTGCTTTTATTGACATAATAGAAAAAACTGAACTGGTTATTTGAATAAAAAATTATGAGTGCAATTAGTTTAATTAATATTTTCGTATTTTTATTTTTTAGATTTTCTCACAAAAGAAGGGAACATGAAAAAAAAGGAAAAAAATCGGACCGAAGACAGGACGCGAACCGAGGCATTACGATTTCCCGACCGCTCGATATCCACTTGAGCTATTACGATCATTAACACAGTGTCAAAATTTACCTTCTTATGTTGTAGCAGTTTTTTATTGCCTGAAAACACGGACAAAAAGACATTTTCTAAAAATAAATCCTAGCTAGATCGATTTATTGCCCCCCGAAACACCCTGGACACTAAATTTTATGAAAATCGTTAGAACCGTTTCCGAGATTCCGATTATATATATACAAGAATTGCTCGTTTAAAGGTATAGGATTTGACTGAACTACTAAGCTTGATCGCTCTAAACGTAATGAATTCGTCTCGCGTCTGCCTGTACCGACCGCAGACATGAGCGCCCGACTTTTGCAAAAACTCCAGCCTTTCGATGGCATTCTTATGAAAAACGTTATGACAGCAACATAATTTAATTCAAACAATGACTGATATCGTCAAAATATAAACATTGATTCATAATTGCTACTGCGTAACGATCGGTTTCTTTGGTTTAAACAGCTATAGTATCCATCTGTTACATGCATGCGAGATGATTTTTTTAAATAAATACTTTATATCTACAATACCAATCTACAACAACAACATTATTTAAGTAATAATAGATATTTAACTGTAATGGTAACGTAAAATGGTGGCATAATTAGAAATGGCAAACTTGTTAAACTATTTAAATAATTTCTTCCCAAGTTGCAGTGTAGTGGTATCGTAAGAGAATACTGGCTGTTGTAAATGGCAAAAGCGAAAAACTAAAACCTGAGATCAGTAGCAGTCTTTAATGATTACAACTCAATAGTAAACATTACGGTTGCCAACTCGCCTGCCAAGTCTGCCAATCACGCCAAGTATACCTGAAAGTTGATGTTTTGCAGTGGTCTTTAGATAGGCTGCACTTGAAATGAATAAACGGACAAAACTTTCAGAAAACACCTATGGCTTTTATTACATAATCGGATTGTCGATTACGGGATCTTTGAGGAATTGGAGCCGCTGCTTTTTTTGCTCACTAATGCTAACATAATAATGTACTAATTACTGCGCAGTCGACAACAATAACGAGACTGTACCAGGAGAATAAGAAGCAAAATAGTAAGGTGG